TACTGATTGCAGGTTCACATTGTGCCAGACATCCATGAATTATCGTTGGAATAACAAACTATTTATAGCATAGAAAGAAGCCAATCAGGCTCAATGTTCTGTGCCAGTGTTTCTGCACAATATGAGCCTCCTTGCAAATGAATTGGTCTCATCCTGTCCACATTAACCTCCAGACTTTTTATCCTGCATACTTTTAGAACATAGAACTGTACAGCACAGGAATGGGCCCTTCTGCCCACAATGTTGTGCTGAACATGATGCCAACTTAAACCAATCCCATCTGCCTGCCTTTGATCCATATCCCTCCATTCCTTGCATATTCATGTGCTTATCTAAAAGTCCCTTAAACGTCCCTATCATATCTACCTCCACCACCAATCCCAGCAGCAGGTTCCAGATTCCTACCACTCTCTGTGTGAAAAGCATCCCCCTCACATCTACTTTGAACTTTCCCCCTCTCACCTTAAATGCATGCCCAGTAGTATTAGACATCTCAACTCTGGGAAAAAGATTCTGATCATCAAACCTGTCTGTGCATCCCATAATTTTGTCGACATCCGTCAAGTCTTCCCTTAGCCTCTGCTGCTCCAGAGAAAACAACCTGAGTTTTTTTTTTAACTTTGTCTCAGTTAAATTGATGCCCTCCTGTGTCGGAGTATATTGATGCGATGGAGAGTTAGTCATGCCATTTTGCTGTAAGTTGGTGTTCATGTATCCTGGTGGCGAGTTTGCTGCCATCTGACCTGTGTAATGTTGCTGCATGGTATTTTGTATATCACATTTGTCCTGCTCATTGTGGGTATGAGGTCTTTCATCTTTGAGAGTAACTGGTGAAGTGTGGCTGTTGGTTTGTGTGCTATCCTTATTCCAAGAGGTCATAGGAGTCTTGTAGTCAGTTTTGATGTGTTTCTAACATTGGGTAGGGTGGCCAGTGTGTTGGGATGTACAGCATCTTCTTGGTGTTGTTTGTTTACCAAGCATTGGCTGACGAAGCTTTTCGGATAACCCCTGTTTGCAAAGGCTCTGTATGGGTGTTGCTCTTCGTTTCTGCGCAGCTCCGGGATCTTGCAGTGAGCTACTACTCAATTAAACAGAGTGTTGAGACAGTTCTGTTTGTGGATGCTGGGTGGTTACTGTTGTAATTCAGGATTTGGTCTGTGTGTGTAGTCTTTCTGTATACTGTATGCTGTAAGTTACAGTACTAGGACAAGTGAGACAAAGACAAGCATGAAAATTCCTGGGGGCCTGGTTTTCAACCACCGATGCAATTAACAAACATGTTGAAATAGACCCCATCTACATACGAAATGACTATTACGAGGGGACATAATTTTAAGGTGATTGGAGGAAGGTATAGGGGAGATATCAGAGGTAGGTTCTTCACACAGAGAGTGGTGGGTGTGTGGAATGTGCTGCCAGCAGTGGTAGTGGAGTCAGATACTTTAGAGACTTTTAAGCGACTCTTGGATAGGCACATGGAGGATAGTAAAATGTAGGGTATGCAGGGTAGCTTGATCTTAGTAGGATAATAGGTTGGCACAACATTGTGGGCCGAAGGGCCTGTAATGTTGTACGTTCTATACCACTACGGTATAAAACCAGAAACAAGACTGCTCGCCATGACAGACAGGACTGTATAAATTCAGAGCCGGACAGAACAACAGCACTTCAACAGAGGCTAAACAGCACTGATGATGTCACCTAGAAGGGAGATGAAACGTTTACACAAAAACCAGACAGCTTGGCGAACCAACCAACAACTCCAACCGCAACCTGAGCTACAGATCTTCATTAAAACACTTCCTGGATTATCCCTATTTCCCTTCTTGAGCAGAGGGACAACATTAGCTACTCCCCAGTCCTCCAGGTCCTCGCCAGTGGCTAGTGAGGATTCAAAGATCTTGGTCAAGGCCCAGCAATCTCCTCTCTTGCCTCTCTCAATAACCTGGGGTAGATACCATCGGGCCCTGGGGACTTATCCCCCTTAATGCTCTTCAACAGACCCAATGCCACTTTTTGCTTGATCTCAAAATACCGTAACATGTTAGCATACTCCACACAAGTCTCACTATCCCCCATATCCTTCTCCTGGGTAAATTCCAATGCAAAGTACTCATTTAGGATCTCACCCACATTCTCTGCCTCCAAGCACAAGTTCCCTCCTTTATCCTTGAGTGGTCCTACCTTCTCCCCAGTTATCCTTTTGTTTTTAATGTATGTTTGGAATGCTGTGGGATTCTCTTTAACCCTACTTGCCAAGGTCATTTCATGGCCCCTTCTTGCTCTCCTAATTCCCTGCTTGAGTTCTTTCCTGCTTTCTTTAAATTCCTCATGGGCCCTGTCTGATTTTAGCTTCCTAAACCCTACATGTGCTTCTTTTTCCCTTTAGACTAAATTCACACCCTCCCTCCTTATCCAAGGGTCCCTTACCCTTGCCATCCTTGTCCTTCCTCCTTGCTGGAATGTGCCGGTCCTGAACTCTCAACAGCAGGTCTTTAAACAATTCCCACATGCCAAATGTGGACTTGCCTGGTAAGTTCCTCCCAATTAACACTCCCTAGCTCCCACCTAATACTGATGTAATTTGCCCTCCCCAATTTAGTACCGTCCCACAAGGTCCTGACTTATCCTTGTTCATAGCTCTCTTCAAACTTAAGGAGTTGTGATCACTGTTTCCAAAATGCTCTCCCACTGAAAGATCGGTCTCCTGGTCAGGCTCATTAGCCAATACAAGGTCTAATAATGCCTATCCTCTAGTTGGACCATCCACATACTGTTTCAAGAAACCCTCTTGGACACACCTAACAAATTCTGGCACCAGCTAAGCCTCTTGCTGTAAGGGACTCTCAGTCAATATTGGGGAAGTTAAAGCCCCCACTATGACAACTCTGATTTTATTGTACCCTACCAAATATGCCTGCGTATTTGTTCCTCAATGTCTCGGTGACTGTTTGAGTGGGGTGGGGGGCTGTAGTAAAATCCTATCAAAGTGATTGCACCCATCTTATGTTTGAGCCTCAGTGGATGAGCCATCCAACATGTCTTCAGATGTGACATTCTCCCTCATTAGTAAAGCAACTCCTCCACCTCTTTTGCCTTCCTCTCTATCTCATCTAAAA